GCTTTAACTGGTAATGATGCCAGCACCAAAATCAAACATGACTTCCTGCAAATCTAGGCTGAAATTCACAGCTGGATCTGTGCAAATATTTCTGCTGAAATTTGATAGGAACTCCTTACAAAATAGCTATCCAAGAGCAGATTTTAGCCCTGGTATCAGTAGCTGTGATGCTTTCACTACCTGGATTCTAATTAAAAGTTCTGCCTTTAGCTTCAGCCAATCTTAAAGCTGCACAACACTTCTCATTTTTTTATGTTGTCATCATCCTATCACTTAACATGAAACTTTCCAAACTGCTTGTGTCTCCTTTAGACTAATTTTTCATGTGGATTTGCATCTCTGGGATCAGGGAGAGGGGATTTTCAGACAAATTGTTTTAGCTGCTTTGAGGGGCTGGATAAGGCTTTCCCACTGTTGGGTTGAAAAACTCTAACTTTTATTTGCTCTGCAGAAACTTGGCAAAGTGACAGCAGGAGCAGATGGCACAGAGTGGGACAGGAGAGACAGTCACCTTCATGTAACGGACACTTGAATGCTATTGCATGAGAAAGATTCATAACAAAACTTGTCTAAGTTTTAACTTCTGAAAAATCTCATTTTCATATGCCAGATGAGCAATCTTTGAGGGGAGACAAGGAAAGAAAGCAGCAATAGAGACAAAAAGCACAAAGGACCTTCAGAGGAAATAGCAGATTTTGGGTAACAGTGGAAGACAGTGACAGAGGCTGACAGGATGATGTCAGCACAGCAAAGGAGCACATAAACATTCTGAGAATCATCTAACAGTTTCCCTTAAAAGAATGAGAGAGCTAGAGAGGTGAACCATGGGAGGTTCTGCTGGGTGAACTGTCTGATACAGGAAGATGTGGGTGAGATCACGTTTTACGGCCACATCCATTTTGTCCATGACTGATGCACTAAGTGGTGCAGGAGTTCTCAGCATGGGAAAAAGCAAAGCTCCTGAAACACCTTATCAAAACCCAAGTTTTCTGGTCTGAGTGGGAGGGAGATGTCCTCTGGAGTGTTTCAGTGCCTGATGTCTCTCCTCAACACGCTTGATAAATCCCCATGCCCATTACACGTCTCCTCAAAGCATGAACACATTTTTACTCCAGACAGAGGGACTGTTCAAATACAGAGGACTGCTAAAATACCTCACTTTTTGGGCTCTGAACTTCTGTCCAGAGAGCTCCATCAGGAGTCCACACATGTTAACAGGGTTCAATACTCTCAGGCAAGAGATCTGACATCTTGGGTGAAAAACATTGGAAAGGCTCCAGAAAGGTTTTCCCAGCTTCTACAAGCAATATAAACTCTATGTCCCCTGTTAACAAAAGTGACAATGTAGGGACTAACCACTAACAAAAGTGACAATGTAGGGACTAACCACTGACCTTGGCAGCTTGATAATGTGCTGTACAGCACTACAGGACCAACTTTTGCCTGGGAGAACAGAGCAGCTCCCACCAACATGGTGTTTGCAGTGCTGGAAACCTCTGAAAGACACAGGCAGCAGTGCAGGGCTTTTTCTGCTTCATTTCATGTCGCAGACATTTTTTATGGAAAATCCTTTCCTTGGGATTTTTCCTCCTGTGAAGCTGAGAGGCCTCAGGAACAAAATGCAAACAATGATTATCTGCTGCTGTGGAATGCATCAGGTGCATCCGTGACTGGCCCATGTTGAATGTTTCTAATTAATGGCCAATCACAGTGGCCATTAATTAGAAACAAACCTTTGTCATCATTCCTTCCTATTCTATTCTTACCTAGCCTTCAGATGAAATCCTTTTTTTCTATTCTTTTAGTATAGTTTTAATGTAATATATATCATAAAATAATAAATCGGCCTTCTGAAACATGGAGTCAGATCCTCATCTCTTCCCTCATCCTAAGACCCCTGTGAACACCATCACAATTTCCCTCAGTACCTTATAAGACATCCTAGGATGCTCTCACATGCACAGGTACCTGTCTCTCCTTCAGAAATCTTGCTGAAGACACAGATGTAGCACCATGAGATCCAAATGGCAGAGATGCCAGAAGTCAGGCCCAAGGTTCTCCTGGAGCTCCTGCTCTTGAAGTAAAAATTGATCATCTGTTGGCAAGGCTTCATTATGTGCAGTCATTTTTGTGCTATCAGGAAGTGCACAATAACATTTGGTTATTTTCTATTAGCTGTTGATGTGAGGGATTTTGATTACACAAACTACTATCATCGTGCTGAAACCAGATATTTGACTTAACCAAATAAAATGTTCTTACTGTTGTCTCTTGAAATGCAGGTTTTCCATTGCTAATTTTTGCCATATCTTTTCTCTGCTATTTTAATTTCCCCAAAAGCCAGTTTCTTGTAAGTGTGTTCTTTGGGGTTACTAAAGTGGGACTTACCATTTGCAAATATTACTGTTACAAGCCTTACAATAATATTTCTCAATATTATGGCTATCACACAGACTCAAGTAGACTGAAATGGCTTCATAACAGTCTAATTTACTTCCAAAAGAAGTTTAAAGTACGTTTTCAAACAATTGTCTGTGATTTTGTTTGCAGAAAAAAGCAATAAAACCATGAAAAGAAAGCACAGAATCACAAAGCAGTCTACATTAAACTAAAACAGTTTTTAAGATCAACACAGTGAATTTCCTCCTGAATTTGAGTCCCAAACATGTCTCAGTGTTATAACTTTGATAACTCCTATCCATGGTCTGACTGTCATTCTTTGATAAAATATTAGCGTTGTACTGTCATTACACCTCTGTGGCAAGGAATCACACATTGAAAAAGAGAGAAAAATGACATTATCAGGAGCCACTATCTCAGAATCTGTTTCAAATTTGTATACAAAGCCATTCTGACACCCTACTCTGGCTGGTGCAGTAATGTTTTACAGCACAATTCCATCTGCAGATGTTGCCAAAGGACAATATTCTGCTACATTGACTAATGCATTTCCCTGTAAATAACCCTCTGATTTTTGTGGGACCTGATGCTGCCTCAGATGCCATTCAGCATGAATAAAGGTGTCAGAATATGGCCTGGAGTTATTATCCGTATAACCTAAACCTCAGTAAAGCAATGAGATACCCAGATTAATGGCTAATGTTGGGATGATATTCCTATCTTAACCCTTGCTGTCTGACCAAAGTGAATAATAACATGCTCATGGTGTATCATCAGCCTCTGAAATGCAGTTGCAACAGTATGAAATTTCGGAATAAATATCTGCCTTCATTCTTTTTTATTCCCCTTGTGGATTTAAGTCAGTTCCCTAAAATATTGTTTAATATGATTTTAGAGATTTAATAGCATCTATTGACCAAGAAAGGACAAAAGTCAGTTCTCTCCCCAGCTTTTTCTCTGTAGGATAAATTTGTTTGAGAATGCTTTTTCTTTTTAGTCTTATGCTAAGAAACTTCTTCTCAATTATCTTTGAAACCATCAAACAGCTTTTCCTGGTTAATGGAAGGTCTTTAATGATACCTAACAACAACATATTCCATATACTACTTTGGGATGATTTGAATACAACAAGCTGGATTGTATTTTTATTCGGTCTTGTATGGTTTTACACACAAGCTGAATTATTAATAACAACAAAGTCTAGCTCACATATACACACCATAAAAAGAAATTAATAACAACTGATAATTATGTTATTGTATAATGTTATATGGTATAGGGACATAAAATAAGAATATATTTAATGATTCCATAAAGTACTCCAGAATATTACTGAATATTCTAATAGAAAAGAGAATGAAATTAACTTTCATTCATTTGGTACTTTGAGGTCTTTCACCACTGTCTCTATGGCTATTTTTTTCATGCTTGCAGAATTGCTTAATACAGCCCAATCAAGTCTGGCAGAGATGATGGCCATGTCCATAGCTCAGCAATCTGTGTTTCTGATTGCATTTACAGTGAATGTGTGCAGATAAAAGGCCAGAGCAATCCAGTGCCAGATTCTGTGGTCATAAATTCAGCTTAGGGCCAAAATTCTCTCTTAAGTGAATAAAGACAATGAGACTTCCACCTAAGAGAGAGATTCACAACACCCCAAACAGCACAAGTGCTCCCAAAAGAAATGTGCATTTGAAATGTTGATCCATGGCTATAGTCTGTACAATCCATATGGGAAATGCATTCCTGCATGCAGAACTCACATAAAGTGAATTTTCGAGGAGAATGACTGGGTTTTAGGACAATAGGATAACAATGGAACTCATAATTGCTAACCTACAATTATGCCAAGATAAAATTACCTGAGAGTACAAGTATAATTCTTGATCCTTGGTCACAAGCAGTTTGAGTTCATAGCTTCGCCCTCTTCCTGTGTGATGCTCTGTGGAGACAGAGGTTCACTAATCTGAGGAAAATAAGCACTTCATTGCCACCATACTACAAAAATATCCAAGATTCAGAGAGCCAAAGAGACAATAAAGGGGAATTGAAGACAACTGTGATTCTAATGATTAATGAGGATGATCATCTGGTAGGAAAGCAATATAAGGTGATATTTAAGAAAGGAAGTCTTTCATTTCCTAGATGGGAGATGTGTTAAATTGTTCAAAAATTAGAGACTGGCTAATTTCCTCTGGTTGCGTTTTTGAAGTCGCTGCTGGATTGCAAAGGCAATACTCTGAATTTGCCCAGCAGAACAAACTTCTCAAAGCATAGAAAATGGTCCCAGGGCATGAAATTGCTGCCATTAGCTCAGGTGTGATGGCTGTGCTGCTGGCTATTCACAGAACTCAAACAGCTTAGAAGATAAAAGTTTGGGTGCCAAGGGGGTCTCCAGACTGAAATGGACATTTGGGGATTTGTGGCTCAGCTAACAAATGGTCTCATATGGCACTTGAGCCTGTCCAGCAGGGTACATGGCCAAAGCCAAAAATACATTAAAAAAAATTGTGAAGAAGTCAAGAGAAAGAAAAAATGAATTCACCTTTGAAGAAATGCACATGTTGGCTCCTTTTCTTCTGCCACAAGTTTATCACAGGAGTGTAGCTCATGCAGAGGCACTGGGATGTTTCCTTTACACTGGCTTAAAACCAGGGAGAGCTGCACTCAGGGGCTGAGAGTTCTTCTTTAAATATGACAAAATATGCTGCAATAGGGTAAGCAAAGTGATACATCTAGTAAAGAGACATGTTAGAAGCAGAATTGCAAACCTTACAGATAAATAAATGTACTCCATAATTACAAAATATAAGCAGCTCCACTGAAGAAAAAGAGCCTAAAATTTGCTGAATGTTTTTGATGTTGACAACAAACACTTGAACTCGCTCTCCAATTGAACACTACAGTAGGAAGAAAAATGCTCTTACACTGCAGATTTTAGCTAAATCTGATAAGATTTGTAAAGCCTGAGGTGCATTGACAACTCAATACCCTTAATTTGGTGGGAAAGTAACTCAAGGCAGTCTTCATTGACTTTTGCTCTAACACATTAATCACAGAAAGGAAAATTTGGGGTGTCTGGGATCAATTTTTATGACTCCTCCGACTAGCTGGGATCACTGATTTGTTAGGGAATATTTCAAGTTTTTGGCTCCTTTTTGTTATGCATTTTGAGTTGTTGTATGGTTGTTTGTTTTTTCTTTAATTGACTGACTGTTTGACAAGAAAGACTATTTCTTGCAACTGATATATAGAATGAGCTTTTGACATGCAGAACTCTGAGGTCTTGTTTTAAAGTAATTATTTATCTTTTACTTGAATGACACTCTGTGAGGGATTATGGAAGAAAATCATTATAAGGTTGCACATCAGTCAGGATACTTTTCTGCCCCTTCTCTTTGATTTAGACATACACTGCCAAACAAATCAAAGATTACACTTGGGAGCTGCATGCTGCTGTGATGGATCTCTGGAGAGGAAGAGAGAAAAATGAAGTTAAAAAAAAAAAGGTGAAAGGAAACGTGAGGAATGAAAAAAAAGTTTCAGCAAGTGTTGGCTCTGCTGTCAGTCAAATGAAAGAGAAGGGACAACTTGATCTATTGCAAGATCATAGCCAAGGATAAAAAAGTAGAAGTTCTCCCTGACAGAAACAAACACATACACACATATTAATTTTGATTCACTCAATTTTTTGGGTTTCATTGTTCTTTGATAGACAAGGGCTTTTTTCCCTGTTCTGGTGACATGCCAATGCACCAGTACAGCCTCTTGAAGACATAAAGCACACATTCCATGACACAAAATTATATCCTGATATCAATAAGGCTGAGAAATCAGAAGCAAAAATGATGTTTTTCATTAATTTCAGAGCTATTAAAGAATATAATCTCTTAATGCCTCAAAAGACTTGACTATTGAACTTTAACTATAAGTACCACTAATTAGAGGTCTGCAATGCCTGATATGTCTTCAGAGGAGAAAAAAAAAAGTAAATTTCACAAACCAGCTCATTAAAACTGTGATGCTGGCTCACTGCAAACAGCTGTCAGGATGGGTAATTTGGGAGTGCATGTGGGATGAGAGAAGAAAAGCTGCTGGAAACGCAATCCAAAGCAGGGGATGCATCAAAGCCAGCCCAGTGATTTACAAGAGGGTGAGATGGTGAAACTTCCATAGGTGGAAATAAAGAAAACAGGCAGGACTCCTTATATCAGGAGTCACCTCTGAAAATCCCATGACATTTTCCCCTTGGGTACAGTTTTCTACAATGACAGGACAAGCATTACTCCAAGTTGTGCCCTCACAATTAGCTGACTTAATTGCATTAAGACTGTTTTTACCTGTGAATGTACACAGCCTAACTTGTACCACCCTCACCACTAAATGTTTCATATTGGAATGAAGGGGCTGAGGGACAAATACAATTACAGTCATTACAGTAGACTGAAAACAAAGTTTTCTTCAAGGTATCCAAAGAACCTTTAAAACATCAAAAACTTTCATTAAATTGCATTCCAAAACCAATGTAAAAAAACTATATGTTGTTAAAAAAAAACCTCTACAAGTTTACTTTGTCCAAGTAGAGTTTGATGTTACAGCATGTTCAGATTTATGGTGGAAGCATCTCAATTTAATTTTTAACAGGCTGCCTTATGTAAATCTCTAAGTGAGAGAACTCATTAAAAATTGTAGCGGAGAAAACTGTGGAATTAATCTATGAACTTTTTATTCATGACTATCTGGCCCTAGAAAATTATTTGACATTGCATATGGATGTCAAATACTTGCAGACTGAACTCTGCTGGCTGCAACTCTTACTCCCAGCTTGCAGCAATGACAGGCTTACACTTGAACTTAACTAGCTCATTACATCTGTTCTTACATCTAATATCCCTGAAAAGTGATACATGCTCATAAATGTGCATCTGTTATAAAACTTTACCTGAGTTCTCCTCACCTTGGAGATTTCACTCTTTTAGGTGAGATCTGCAGGATCCCTGCTCAGGAATCTGCAGGATTTTGTCCCAACAAAGGCTAGAAAATAGGAAAGGATAAAATCATTGGTGCTTACAAAACATTCTGTATTTCCTGAGCTCCTGTTTCTCTCTCAGGAAGCCTCCCACCAGCTGCAGTCCCTGAGGAGTAGTGAGAGCTCCTGATGTCATACGCCCTCTGAGATGAGTTGATACATGAAGTGAATTCTGTCTTGAAACTGCTTGATGGCCACTTAAATTTAACCGGAATTTAGTTTCTTGAACACATAAAGTATTTTTCTCCTTTTAAAATGAAAGTGAAAACTAATTTTAAAAGTTTCCCTTAAAAAAATATCAACTTGAGACTGCTTCCCACCCCTCCCTTTCTTTCTACCTTAAAAAGTGAAGATTTCAAGAAGAATTTATGAACTTAGATAATGTGCATTCTAGTCTGAAGAAAACCCTCCTTTTCCTCAGGTCTAGTCTGCATTCCTTGTCTCCTCAGAGGCATGGCATTGCACAGATTTGAATTGACAGTGACTTTTACAAAACTCCAATCAGGGTGGTAGGAGCCTTCTAGGAACTTGACTGGAATTTTAAAAAGAGTTTGTATTAATAAGTGGCTGGTGGTTTGTTTTCACTTTTTGAAAGTAGATGGGGAAATACAATCTTACTATTTCTCCTGCATTTAGAAACATAAAGCTTTTACATATACGTGGACTTAGCATTCTATTTGTTCCAACTAATGCCAGTAATGTGCATGTCTGAAAAAAACTATTTTACACATTTATATATGTATATTCCCATCTCTTAAAAGAAATTTTACTGTGATTTATGAGTCTTTTCATTTTTAATCTAGTTTACATGGAACAAAAGAGAACATTAGCTATTGATAAACAGAGATTCAATCACATAAACATCTTATCTAAAAACGCAGACAATTGGGAGCATTTTATTTACCAAATAACCCTATGTGGCTTCATCACCAAAAGAAAATATTTTTCTTAAGATATCTGCATTGATTTTAATTAGGTCCGATCAGCATAAACCAGTTCATTTTCAATAGATACTGACATTCCAATATTCCACATCATATTGATTCAAAATTGTTTTTTGAGAGTTATAACGAGAACAGAAAATGCAACAGAGGCTTGCAATACAGCCTGCTCTATGGAACCAGGTAAATCACACTTTGCAAAATCATTTTCCCCTCTAATAGAGTCAAAAAATGGTTATTATTCTTTAGGGTTGCTGCACTTTAATTTATTCTTCAATTCCCAACTGCCTAAGCAGTTTTTTCAGACCTTGCACAGTCCATCATGTGTTGCATCTATTTTCTGTTTGAGAGAAATTGTCTTGATTTCCATAACAAAATAATACTTTGTGCTATTGTGATAACAATACTGCAACAATCTGAGATATCCACTAACATTTCCCTCCCTGCCTTTGTGCCCAATAAACTGAGATTTCACCAGCACCATCCTAATCCAGTAAGCTTGGTTTTGGCTGAAGCACAGGTCAAGCAGCATTTTACACATTATAAATTATATTAGTTAGATAATATAGCTAATAACAGAAGGATCTCTTTCCTTTTTGCACCAATAATATTTTGGATCAAAAGATGTGACAACTGATCTTGTAGGATGTGGCTGCTGCTCACCAGCCTAGAGTAGCCTGGGGAAATTGTTCAGGCAGAATCTCCGGTTGTTTTTCCCACTATTACAAGGACCCTGTACCATTAGCTGGCAGCAAACTGTTTTTCTGAGTTTGGTGTTGCCTCAAAGCTTTGAGTTTTTGTTGGGAGCTGTAATTCCTAAAGTGGCCATCTCTATCTCCCTAGCCAGACCTCTCCTTTGTACTCTGCCAGCCAGACTTTTCCCCCTTCCACTTATTTCTGCTGAAAACCTGCAGCCTCCAAAACTCCAGCACCTTCTTAGGAACATCAAGTCACTTGGCAGGCTAATTGCTTTTCTGCTCGAAGAAGTTATCAAGTGAGTACACTATTTTCTGTAGTAATTACAGAATGACCCCAGGGCAGACCGTGTACAACAACAAACCTCAGTAAGAAGGCAGATCTTTGCTATTGTAAGTGGATAAAACTCCTCCAGTGTCAATGGGGTTGTATCTCTTTCTGTGGGCAGATAATTTGGCTTGCAATAGTTGGCTCTTGGTTGACTTCCTTTGTCTTTTTAGGAACTATTTCTGTATGAACTCCACCTATAATTGCAGGAAAGCAATTACACCTCTTTTACCTCCAAGGTTACGATGACCAATACTGTCTTAGAACCCAGAGTAGCAAATTTAATTCAAATCATTCTCTCCTTTGCCAACACATGGATCAGGCTGCTCACTTTAATTTTAGAATATTTCAAAGTGCTGCTCGATAAAATCCCCAGATGGCAGAGCATTTAGCTTTCCTCCCCCAGTCAATAACAAATGCATGCTCCTTTCATTGTCTCTATTAAAGGGCTCAGGTGCAATTACATCATGGAAAATCTGGTTCTCTTTTCCACATATTCAGTTAAAGATGAAACTTCTGTGTCCATTGCCATAAGGACTTTAAGGATAAGGACTACAAGGAATGGATCAGCCTGTTACTTGTTCAGACTTGACTGCTTGTACCAGAGTGAAGAAGTAGCTGTTACTGGCCATGATTATAGAAGGAATTAAAAAAAAAAAAAATAAAGAAAGAGGCTAGAGGGAAATATTTTAAACAATTAGCCAGGAGCTCACAGCAGGACACTCATCTGAAGACAAAGCAGGAAACAAGGTCTCAATTGTTTCACAGCTATTTACCTGCTCTGTATCATGCCTTTTTTAAAGATGCTTGTTTAATCATCTTGTTCTTAGCTCCACTGTTTTTTTTCCTTGCAGTTATTATTTCCTTACAGGAAATAATAAACTGGTGTGTTTTATGAAGGCTGCCATTAACTCTGTCAGCCCCGAGAGACAACAGCAACTGCAAACAGGAACTTAAATGCAGAATTGTTAAGCTGATTATGGCAGGGGTTTAATGCATAAACTCATCTTCAAAGGAAGAGATGAAGGCCACAGGGATAAAGGAGATTGCTGGTGGTCAGATGCCTGGGTGAGAATAAACACTGTGGGGAGTCAAACATACAGTTAACCCTGGCCTGGTTCTATTTTTGAAATTCTTAGGAAAAAAAAAAAACATCACCTGGCAAGATAAATGATGACAGAGTTGGATCTCAAAGCCTCAAAGTCATAATAATCAAATTAACCTTGTCATAACAAATAATCAAATTAGCTTACATGTATCTGTCTAGCTTATCTCCAGAAAAGTGGGGAGTGCTTGGAAATCCCATGAGTAAAAACAGAGGAAGATCTGCTGTGTGAGCTCCTAGGCCTATAAACAATCAAATCCACTCCCTGAAGAAATAGTAGCCAAGGTTCTTAAAGGGAATCTGTGCTGTCTGAGAGATCTGATGTGGCAGCATTATCACATCTTTTTGGCAAGCACATTTAGAAAAATATAACACTGCCAAGACAGGTCCCTGTATTCTCCATCAGAACTCTGACACATTCACATTTTGATGCTTTTTTTCCCCTAAATAATAAAGATACAAAATAATTGCAAGGAAGACCCATGGCCTTATGTGAGGGTTAAACCAAGAAGTAAAAGAATCTTGGCTACTTGTATTAAAAGAAATATTAAAATTGCACTTGTACATGTTCAAATCCATGTTCTTCCAAATTCCAGATTCCACAGTATAGCTGTCATTGTTAAAATAAAAGTTAAAAATTGCTCATGTGTCAAAGAAAAGGAAATATTACTCCTGGGCGTTTGTCATTATATCTTAATATTGAAAAAAAAATTGCAATTGTTTCTAATTATCAAGAGTAATGATTCTAAGCATTGTTTCTGAATTAATTTGTTGTAGTCAGCTGTCTGCATTTCTGTTCCTCTACAAACAGGCCAAAAATAATCCTGTCAGATTCATTTGTTTATGTTCAAACAAGGTTTCTTTTCTGTTCCACAAGGCAGGTGATGCTTTGTTAGTTTTATCTGCAGCATGTGTGATCCAATGCTTCAAGTGTACTATGTCTGTCTCTTTTTCCTTTTTAATTGGGATTTTTAAGTGACAACTCATTTTTATGCCGTGCTTGGGTTTTTTAAAGGTTCTCATGTCATTTTACCTACTCTAATGTGGTGTTGCTCAAAGAAAACTGGCATTTATTTGGAAAGAAATGAGTCACTGTCAGCTACCTGAAAGACAAGTGAATCTGCCATCACTCTGGCCAGACTTATTTGTTTATTTGTTTAATTGTTTACACTTCAAGTGCCATCAGAAGTTCTACATAAGTTTACAGTAAAAACACAACCATGGTCACCAGGAATGACAGAGTTTTAACAAGCACAAGAGAACACCAACAGCAAAATTGAGACTTGAGAAAACAAAAAAAAAAGGTGAAGAGAGAGACCTGGTAGGTTACCCAGAGTCTCAAATCCATAGAGGAGGAAAATTCAGACTGGTAGCCCTTGAGTTCCCATTGGCAGTGCTCGGTTTCTTCCCTTGGGAAGATAAATGCATTTACCTCAGCATTCCAGCTGCCTGTAGTTGTGAAGTTAAAATCTGGGGAATGATTTGGTTGTCCACACCAAGGATTACAGCAGAAAATGAAGCCAAAAATGTGCTTACCAGAAATCCTGATGAGCCACCTTCAGAAGTGTGTTTCCACCATTTTTACACCTCCTTGACAATGTTCACAACATCTGGATCAAGTCCATCTAGCCAGCATGCACATGCATTCATTGTTCATTATCCTGAGATCACCTCCTAATCTCCAGGTCCTTCACACTTCTGTCCATCCTGCAATGATGAGATGTTCTGAAAGAAATACAGCAGGGTATTTACCATTTTAATTTGGATTTTCTAAATGAATTATTTTCATAAATAACCATTTTCTCTAAGGTATAAATACATGGCTAATTAAGTCATGCTATGGTTTTTATGGTTTTATAAATACAAGGGTACCATGCCTTGCTATGTTGAAGCAAGCAAAGATTTCCAACTTGCCAATCACCTGGCAAGTTTTCAAGCATCATCTGTAGCAGCATCCTCAGATATTTTACACCATAGGGCATGTGTCTGTAAGCAGCACCTGAATTCCTAAGCAAAGTTTTTTTCCTTCCCCAGGGTACTGAAGCTTCACTTCAGAACAGCAATAAGTCCTTTAACCTTAATAAACAAAATAATAATATAAAAGAATGGTCTAAATGGTTTCCTGCTATTTACATTAACCTTTGAAAAGGTCTTCTGTTTTCTATATTACTCAATACAATTTTTACCCTTTATCTGAAAAATTCAGATTGATACTAAAAGCTGCATGTTTCCAAAACAGCACCACTCCTCATAAATTATCCTTTTCCAACCACACAGTAGTTTTAAGGGAACTGAAATTGCAGGAACCTTGCCATTTACACAAACCCCAAAAAAACATTTAAAAAAAGAATTTGAGACACTGCAGTTACCAATATGTATATATCATGCCATTATAACTTGCTCTTTGTCTCACCATCTACATTTAGATACAAAAGTTCCTGACAAAAATGCATTTGGGCAATATTTGCTTTCAGACTCCTGGGTTTAAAATGTGTCTGAGAGCAGATATTCCAGCAGATGGATGTAAAATTCAATTCAGGGCAGTCTACCATTTTGGAACCTGGGAATAAAATGCTTTTCAAGATTTTACCCATAATTTTTTGTTTCCACACTGGCCCTAATTCTGGGTCCATGCTTTTTTGATAGTTCTTCTTTCATACATTTCATACATCCTTTCCTTTTATTATGTTCTTCCTGTTTTGTGTGGTCAGATTCAGTTTTCAGTAAAGGGTTTAGAAAATGCTCCTTTAAATAACAGAGACAACAGAATGTGGCCTTAGCCACCTCATATATTTATATACATATACATATATAAACATATATTTATACATATGTTTGTAAAAGGATGCTCCAGTACAAGCACACAAATTAATTAACATTGCCTCATTATTGATTAGCCTAACTGCTTCTGAGATAGTGGACTCTTGACTTATCAAAACCTTGCAAAGGATTTAATTTGTATTCTAGTGCTTTCCCTACATGTCTAGAAGCAATTTCAACTTTTCCCTCTTATATCAAGAAGGAAACTTGAGCCAGGAAGTGAAGAGTGTTCAGAGTAAAAGGCATTACATCCAACACCACTTTAAAAACATTACACATGCAGTGAAAATGAAGCTTGGAGAGAGAATGCATGCTTTGAGCAATTATAGGTGAGAGATTTTTTTTTTTCAGATTGCACTTTATTTGTGATGTCTCATTAAAGTGACAGTTTCTTAGAGAGTGGAGAGTAATTTGAATTAATACAGTATGCATTACATATATATTGCCATATGGATACTGCAATTCTTTAATGAAATAGAATTAAAAATGTAAGTTATTTGTGGGCATAGCCGAAAGTGTATTTCCAGGGAGATGAATACATAGCAAATCTCTGTAAATTCATGAGATATCAGCGTAGGTGTCAGCAAGTAAGAAAACACATTACCAGTAATAGGAAATATTTTGGCCCACTAGTAATTAATTAAAAATTTTCATAGACTTCCAAGTGTCTCATGTGAAAGTTCAAGCATCAAAGTGAAATTTCAGTAATTAACTTGTTTGTTTTAAGAATGAAAGTAGCTTCTGTGGCCAGCACTAAACTGAAGTATTTAGACACATCGTCCAAAATTTGATAACTTAGTTAATTCCTTCTTAATTTCTTTGTCTGAATATACAAACTTCTGAAAAATGTCATACATCATGCTGATGTCTTACCTAATGTATGTTTATGCCATCATTTCTTAATTTTTTTTATTCATTGTAAGCCTTTTCCTTTTGTAATAAACTTTTGTGCAATGCAATAAATTCCTGTGAAAAAGAAGAAGGTTCATTGTTACTTTAACTAAAATATTACATGATTTCAGAAGGCCTGTGCCTCTCAGGATTCAAATTACACAGTTTTTAATTAGAAAAATCCCAATAGTAGTAGATATTATAGGCTAGAGGAAGAAGTTTATATTTTACCAGGATGGATTCAGAAAATCTGTTGGAATACTAGGATGGAATATGCATTATTTTTAACTTATTAATATGTTTTAAAGCAACTTCAACCTTCAGAAATAAAAGTTTAGGAAAAGGCCTAGAGGATCAAAAAATGACAATGATGATGCTTTGAAAAAAACTGTGTTTAAGTTGTCTTTTAATCTCAAAAATTCAAGGCTTAGGCTGAGATGAATGAACATTTATAAAGAAGATCAGCCATGTTATCCTTACATCCCTGCACACTCCTAACATGGAAATATTTTTAATGTCTCTGGAGAAGTCTACTAGTCTACTATCTTTTTTAGGGAGGAAAAGTTAAAAAAGTTAACTTAAAAAAGTTAGTTTTTCCTTTGTCAATCACACTAATTTTGCCAATGTTCTTTTTTACAAGAGAGATTCCTTGGCAGAGCATTGTGACTAACTGCTGAGCGGGCCCTGCACACCCAGAAACTGTATAGAAGGTTTTGGAGAAGATCTTCCCCTTCTTAAAAAACATTATTTTTCCCATCTAGCCACAAGCAAACTAAATACTTTCACTGTTTTCACTTGGCCTCCTCTGTCCTTTTCCCTTCTATTCTTACATCTAATTTTTCAGTGCTGTGGCTCCGCTTTCTGTACTTCTCTCTCTGCTCACTTTCTTCATTACTCCCTCTTCCCATTTATCCCAAACCAAGGCAGGTGCTGTGTAACCCCCCAGGAGCACATTTCTCTATTAATCTATTTCTAATAGGTGTTTCTATCAATTCCTTATTTCTGTGCTGGGCTTTCCCCATGTCAACAATCCCACTGAGTTTAGTGCAGCCACACACACGAGCAAAGTCAGAAAAGAGGTTTTGAAGCTTTTGCTGGATGAGAATCTGCAAGCAGACAGAACATTTTAGTGGAAATTCTTTGGAAATTTTGTGGAAAGTAACTGTGTTCCAGTCACTGCTTAAATATCCAGAGAGCCCACCCCAAAATAGGGTTTGTTGGGCTGAAGTGATGCACAGACGTGTCCCAGGCCCTCTCTCCTTAGTAAGGAAAATGAACAGAAATTGTTGAGCTCTGAGCTGTTCTTCATCATATTGGAATGAAAGCAATAATGAATCAAATATTCTTGGGCAAAATTTGTGAAGATTAATTCAGGACATTGAACATTCATTTATTAAAATGATAAAAAAGTATCAAAAATTACAGAAGTATCTGGTGCTTCTTTTTCCATGCACTTCTGACACATAGCATTATAGCAGAAAAGGGAAAAAGAAAGGGATATGCTTTGCCCTTGAGAGCAATAATATGATTACAAGAAGACAGTTTCAGATCTATTGAATATTTCAAACCATACATTTTAATGTGTGTTTCATTAACTTTGGGGTGGCAATGAAAAGGAGGCTCCTTCATGTTTTTTTTTCTCATACTGTTCCACTTCATTATTAAGCAATGATGCCAAGCTGTTCACCAGGATTGCTGCTAGCAGGCTTGAACAGCTTCTGCCAAGTGTGATTAATGCAGATCAAACAGAGTTTATTCAGTGGAAGAGATTGGCAGATAACATTTATCATCTCTTAAGAAAGTTGGGATTTCCAGACTGACGTCAGGCTGGCGATAAACTTAGAGGCTGAAGGATGTTTGACCAACTAGTTTTGCATATCCTTTAGAAGAAAGTTGAATTCCACTTTGATTAGATTTGAAACCTGAAGAGAGCCTCATTTACATGCAAAGCCTCCTCCAGTGGTTAACTTTGTTGTGGAAAGGACAAGGCATATCAAGAGGCTTATCAGTGACTGTACTTTTTTTTTATAAGTATAAAGACTGTGTGTCACTCACCAATGCAGAGCAGCTGGCACTGGCCAAATCAGCGTCCTCAGGCTGCATGTAGGGTGGGGGAATAACCCAGCATGGATTTAATTCCTGCTTTGTTAGCTGGAGCAGGCAGTTCCTTCCATTTTTATGTTCTTTCTGTCTGCTTTGCAGTATAAACTTTGCAGAATTCAGAGGAAGTCTGAAGTACAAAACAGTATTTTGCTGTCTTAGGTGAATATCTTTCTAAATAATGAGAAGATTTTAATGAGAAAACCGAAAGTTATTTAGTCTTTACCTTTCTCAAAAGCCATTATCCTTAGGTTGTTTTCCTGGCTGCTGAGCAACACAAAAGCTGTGCTGAGAAACTCATTCAGTTTCTAAGATCTATTGCTTGGCCTTGAACCTCTTGCACAGACCTCTGCACAAAGATCTTCTTAGAATAACAGTTTTCCACTTCCTCCACCTTCCCCAACCAAACACAGCCCTAATGGCAGTCAGCATAATAAAAAGTCTCCAGCACAAGAAAACAAGTTCCTAACTGCAGTCAGCTAATCTCTGAGACACCCTGAGCTGTCTCAGGTGTTTGGAGGCAGCAGAAAGCTCATTAGCACCAGATAAATCACATCCCCAGGCTCAGCCAGCTCATCAAAGGGAGGTTATAGCCCATATAAAACTGTCTTGGGCACGAAGACCTTTGCTTCCCTCCCATTTTGCCTCACACTGACATAACCTCTTCTGCCTGAGCAAGAATTTCTCGGCAGTGACAAAAGTCCCTTTTTGATATCACTGTGACCTACCTGAGGCCTCTGTTTGTCACCACCAATTCCCACAGACGACTTCTTTGGAAGGTGCTGTGGTTTCCAAGGCTCCAAATTAGAAAGTTTACTTGGTTTATCTTCTTATAGAAAGGATACTTCATAAAAATAAGAATAATTGTTTATAACAAGCAGCTTTTTCTCTATGCAACAAAAGAAAATGGAGAGATTATTTTAGTCTCACTCTATAGCTACTTTTAGCAATTGCAGGTAGCATTTTTTTAGCATGGTTGTTTCCTCAATGTGGCTGAAGCCATGGCTCAGATTTTGCATCCCTTAACAAAAACCTCTTAAATGTGCTCTTTTATTTATTTGTTAATTTTCTGAAGCATTCTTTGTACATTCTTTGTACCCCCTTTGTACTTAGAAAAATCTGCTATTCCTAACTCACTTTCACATTGATAACACAAGTTTGGAAATGTGTTCTCTCAGAGACCCTGTGCTAGACATAATTACTTCATCTGGATCTTCACCCTCAGCACCGTCTTTGGCAAAGATTCATGGCTTTATAGGAGTCCAAACAGCAATTTTAAAAGAAAATAGCAACAAAACCCAACAGCCCAACACACACAATCCGACGCTGCAGCTTATGCCATGGCTCATCTGGCAGATGTTCTGAAGCGAGTGCCTCTGACTCTCAGAGCTCTGCTTTCTGTTCTGTTTGCAGATGATCATTTCTGCTTTCACTGGTGGTTCCATGCCAGATCCCTGAGGCCAGTGGCAATATGTTCCACTTAATTTCAGCTTTCACTAGACCAATATATTTTTAAAGTAATAGTAATTCAGAGTTATGACCAGAGTAATAAGGCTGCGCCCAATCTATCCTTGGGGTTGTTTGCAGATGGCTTAGTCTGGTGCTTCCTGCTGGAGAACATTGGCTCTGAGGCCTCCTTAGCATCTTCCTTCAAGCCAAACTGGAGGATTTTCAAGCCTTGTCCTCTGCCTGCCCTGCACAGCAGCAGCTCCAGGTTGCTGGCTCAGGCAGCACAAAGTTACTCACGTTGCTTTGCAATGCTCATTGCTCTGCTTTACTTCAGATATGCTCCAGAGGCAGGAGGAGTGACACTGGGCTGCCTCAGGAGCTGAGAACACAGGAATGCCAGCCCTTCACAGCAAAAAAACATCTACTTCTGCCTCACTTGGTGAGGTCCTTTCAGAGCTTGCAAATCGAATTTGCTTCTCCTTAGCTCTGTTCAAGGCCACTCTGAGAATAGCTGCACCTCCTCTCTCCTCTGGCGAGTGCCCAAAGCTCCACAGTCCCCCTGAATCGCTGTCAGCTGCAAGAAAGCAGCTCAAGGATCTTCTGTTTGCACCTCAAGGTACAACTGGAACCAATCCAGTTCAAGGCTGTCCAGCAGCACAGGCAAAGTCACTTTTGTCACCTGAAGAGTGAGTGACACAAGGCACATGAGGCAGCTCCTGTTTTTGGTAAGGACAGTTCCCAAGGCTTGGGCAGGGAGGGGGTGTTTAACCCCTGTTATCTCCAGGGATTAGGGCAGGATTGCCCCCCTGTCACCATCCCAACCTCTGCTGGGGCTGCTGGAGCAGCATCCTCCTCAAAGGAGGGAGCTGAGCCCATGGACCAGCATTTGTCCCTTCCCTGCTCACCCCCAACCCAGGGAAAGCCTGGTTCCTGTGACAACAGCCGTGCCAAAGAATGAACATCCCCCTCCCATCACTAAAGCTGCCCTCAGCCAGGGATGCCTGCACCCCTCCTAATGATAAACCTGCACTGAAAGGCAATTTGTGCATTCATAATCTCCTCTATCAGGCTCTCATGCCATTAATGCCACCAGTGCTGTGACCTTTTAGCAAGATATCAGGTACTAGCAGCAGGCTCAGAATTGCAAACTTTAATTAAAAACTGTATTTTAAAATAAAACCCGGTTCAGATGCACTGATAAGTGATTTTCACTATGTGAAATTTCAGAGTTGCTTTCCTGGGGGGGAAAAAAAAAATCATTGCAAGCTTCCTATTAATTTCTGGCTAGCTGGGTTTCAAGGACAATTTTATTAAAAATGAGGAGAGCCTTCTGTAATAAAACCTTTGCAGTTGTTATGACCACCTGTGCTACCTCCCACCTTGATCCACCACATGACACAGCACAGCTAATTTTCCCACATCCTAGCAAGGAAATTGAGCTGTTACAATTTCAGACGATGGGGCTCACATACACATATTTTAGACTTCATTATTTTTCTGTTTGACACGTTTGGACCTGGCAGAGGTTGCCTAAACAGCTTTAAGATCTCTTTCTCTATGCAGCACAGTATAAAAGTTCAGATAAAATCATTAAAGTTTCTGAATTGGTGCAAAATAAGAAACAAGAGGAAAATAAAACTGGGTTCCTCATCGAAGTGCAGAGCACTGACTGTACAGGAAAGGTCTCAAAGGAGATGATCTTAATGGATTACTGTTAATAAACATTACAGTTTATTAAACAGTTTATAAAACAAACAACAGGGTGGCACTCATCTGAACTGAAACAAACAGGGAAATTATGGCTCTTGAGGCTTACTCACCACAGATATATTGCTTCCTGCTCTCCCCTCAGCCCTAGGTCTAAGTTTTATGAAAACACTAATTGTTCCCCACTGTCACTCTTAAACACGGATGACTCAGTAGAAAATAAAAACAAAACAAAAAAAAACCCTACAAAAAACCCCCCCCACACCAGCCTGATTGGGTCCCCACAGACCAGCCTTTTTGGCTGTGCCCATCTCCATTTAATTTCAGGGGGCAAAACAAAACCTCCTAATCTTAGCCACAAAGGAAGGGCAGGAGAATTCATTCTGGGGAGAGAGAGAGAGTTGGCAAGCTGAAAAATGGAAAGCAGGGGAGGAGATTATAATTAATGCATATGGGTAGTTTACATGCTGTCTCCTCTCCATGGTGAGAATGTAGCAAGCTGTCTAATTGGAGCCTGGTTTTTGGCTCCACTTAAATTCCTCAGAAAGCATTGCACTCCACAGGCTGCATAGTTAGATTTTGTAGGTTTTGGCCACAGCAGAAGCCTAATAAAAAATACTGGGATGAGGAGGGCAAGCTATTTCAGGCATAACATTCTGGAGCAATGCAAAGAGGTCACAACTGGTGAGAATCTGCATGAAATTGCATTAGGCACAGATGAAGTGTCCGATCATCTTTCTGCCCAAATTCATAAATATATTAGCACACACAACCATCAGAGTCACATCTTGTTTTTATATCCAGCAACCATCCTCTTCACTGGTCCCTGACAATTCTGATAAATTGCTGCTGCCCTTCAAAAGAACTTTTGATTTCCCTTTCAAATCCTGCCCTGGATGTTGCCAGCATATATGTGTTTAAAAGAGTGCAGTGACTCTCTGGAAAGAGAGTGGATGCAAATCTTTCCTGCATTTGCTCAGAGCCTTTGCAAGCCCTGTAAGCAAAAGCTTTACTGCGAAACATTTTCGTTTTCAGTTATTAAGCTTTTCTGTTTTAAAAAAGTCTTTAAAAATTTAATTCCCATTATGCAAAAAATGAATGTTAAACAGCAACAATGCCTGCTAGTTTAGGCAAATAAAGTGGATAGCTATCCAGTAAATTATGCAACAAATTGCAAGCTGGGTGAATCAGATCTCAAAAGTGCAAGTCTTGAAGCCCCAAAAATTTCATAGCTAACATCCAGGAGAGTGAATTTATTGAGTGAGGACAACACAGATGCCTGGCAGGGAAATGGAAACATTAGCCTAGAGTGGGGCATCAGCCCCACTCAGCTTATAAGCCTATGCCTGAGGTGCTGCTGTGGCCAGCAACCAGTGAATATGAAGAATTTAAGTAAAATATAGACTAAATGGAAATTTCATATTTTAGTAAAATGCAGTAAGATATCTATTTCAACTCCAAAAGGATGCTTTAGCTAAGTGATGTGAGTTACCACTTTTAATTGAAGTTAGAAAGTAATTACTAATGAGGTTTAAGAAAAGACAATTTAAAATAAAATGGTGCATACAGAAGGGCAGAGCTGCAGCTTCTAACACTAATCTGGAAACCTGTGTGCTCAGAAACTGTTTACTGAAGTCACAACACTTATTAACTGCATCCCATTCCTCCTAAAAGACAAAACTCAACTATAAATTATTTGGAAAGGCCAGACTCCCTACATTAATTTACTGAGGCTTTCATCCTTCTGCACAGTACTGTATTTTTAATACTGCTCAAAAGATATCAAGTACCTTCTCTCCAACCTATTCACCAGCTCTAAATGGGATTTGACATTACGAGGTCAGCTTTGCTTTGCCTCTTAGATGACTCACAAATTTGCAGAGACACAGGTTCACTGTTCTCACATGGATCAATGTTCAACAGACCACTGCTTCTG